AAGAGGGGCACTCTCGAGTGAGACGGTGAAGAGGTAGTTTGTACACCAGGCAAAAGAGTTTATGCCAACTGCAACGGAAATTCGCTCAAGTATTTTTGAGAATGAGGGTAATGTTATCCAATTTAGCTTTTCAGAATATACCTCTGGCTGCTGGGTAGAGGATGGATTAAAAGAAGCACAGAGTAGAAGCAAGGAGACCACTGGTGCATGGCGGTGATGGCTTGGAGGAGAGCAGTGGGGTTAGAAAGGCAGAGATGTGGGCAAAGGTGGGATATGAACGTGGAGGTAGAGACAAAAGGATTCACTCGTGGGCTGGGAGAGGCTGGGATCGATTATATGGGAAGGAGAAAGCCAGAGAGAGGGGAAACCCCAGGTTTCTGGATGGACAGTGGTACTTGTTTACTAAGATATAGAAAGCCCCTCTGGTGAGTGCATTGGTTTGTAATTGCAAGTCCTTTTGACTTGATTGCCAAATTATCGGCTAGAGAGTGTGGCAGGGAGCAGCCCAATCCAATGGAATTCGGGCCAAGGACGGTACCCCAAGCTCTCGTGAACGGCACCCGGCTCACAAACATCGGGGCTCCAGAGTCCTCCCCATGGACATGGCAACTTAACACACGCACGCCTCTGAAACGCCAGGGCGCTGTCAATTACCAATGGTAAACCACACGCTGGATCCCGACCAATCCCAGGCTCCCACAAAAGCCAACAATTAAAAGGTGTATCCTCGGTGAATGACCAGCCACTCTGGAGACCCCCGTGCTCCTAGGGGGTTTGTCTAACAGCTTTCAAGAGCACGTCCCAGCTCCAGCTCCCGAAAACCTGGCCCCAGCCCTAGGAAGTGCTTCAATAATGAATGATCACCAATAAACAGCCGGCGATTTGCTGGAAATTACGAGCAATAAATAATTGAGAGGTAAGGAGCCCGACCAGCGGTACCCTCGCCTCCTGCTGCTCCTCCTTAATGCATTTGCTTGATGCAACTCCCCGTGGTGTAGGGCGCAGACAGCTCCCAGTCCTTCGGAAGATGCTGACGAGCAGGCCCTGAGAGTTATAAATATACGAGCCTCTCCCTGTTTTACTACATGATGACAAGAGGCAGCAGCTGCCCCTGCTCAGCCCACTTGGACTCCAAACTGCTGGTGTGGGAAGTACAATTTTCCCCAGCAGGCAGCCAACCTCCGAGACCTCGGGAAAGGCTGCAGGTTGAAAACCTAGATGGGCTTAGAGAGAGAGAAGTGTTGAGTCATCCCTGAAAATAAATTGAGGGAAGTTTTGAGATTAGCTGAATCGTTTAGAACACGAAGCATCTTTAAGCTACGTTTTTCTCGTCAACCCTCAAAGCCCTGCCGTTTTCCTTCTAGACCCCCGGGCATCTGTCATTCCGGGTCCACGTGGTTCTGGCCACTTCCTCATAACCTCTGCTGCACTGGCTCAGGGCAAGCCGTCGGTACCTCTTGCCCGTGTTATTGCAGCAGCCTCAAACTCTACTGCCCACGCCAGTCTGCTTGCAACCCAACAGCCGGCGAGGTTCTGTTCGTGGGTAGATCACAGCATGTGTCTTTCACCTGCACAAAGCCTTCCAATGGCTTCCATGGGAATCAGAGTGAAAGTCAAAATCATCCCCAATTTGGGTGCCCCATTAGCACCCTGGCATCTCCTCTTAGCACTCTCCCTATCACCCCTTCTGTTCCCACCACCTCTAGTTCCCTGCTGTTCCTTGCACACACCAGGCATGTTCCCCCCCTTCCAGGCCATTGTACTTGCTGTTCCCTCTCTCTGCAATACTCTTCCTCCCGATAGCGACGTGGATTTCTGCATCTCTCTCTTCGGGTCTTCGTTCACAGTGTCACCTTCTGCACAGACCTTTCCCGGATTGAACCACGCTGAACACTGAATTCTCCCTCCACCCATAGGTAGGCAGAACCGGGCCAGCTCCCTTTCTGACGGTATTTTTCCAACCATTTGTCTTTATTACCACCTGTTTTTCTATTGCTGCCGTAACGAATTAGCACAAGTGTATCGCTTACGCAACACGAATTTATTTTCTTACGGTTCTGCAGTTCAGAAGTCCAACGTGAGTCTCAGCAGGGTAAGATCAGGGCATCGCCAGGGCTGTGTTCCCTCTGGAAGTTCTAGGGGAGATCGTGTCCCCTGGCGCCTCCCTGCTCCCGGGAGCCACACACAGAGCTGAGTTCCACATTGTTCCATCTTCAATGCGGGCAACAACCATTGCATCTCTCCAACCACCTTCTGTCACCACACTTCCCTCTCCACTCTCTGCTCCTGCCTCCCCCCTCCCACTTTTAAGGACCTTCGTGATTACACTGGGCCCGCAAAGAGAATCCAGAATAATCTCCCAAAATTTGAGGTCGGCTGCTCACCAAGCTAAAACCCCACGTGCAACCTTAACACACCTTTGCCAGGTAACCTAACGTGTTCCGCAGATTCCTGGGATTAGAACACGGACATCTTTGGGGTCTACTGTTCTGCTCACTGCACCTTTCCACTGTGACTCTGCTCTGTCTGTCTCCGGTGCCTGGAATGTAAGGTGCGGGAGGGACGGTTGGGGACTTTTATCGGGGTGGTTCATCGTTTTACCCTCCACCCAACACTTACCACAGTGCCGGGCACATAGCAGTTGTTCAAAGAATACTTGGGTTTTGAGTGAAGGCATGAACGCATGATGCTCTCGGATCATTCTCCACCCTTCTCCACCCTTGGGCCCCGGGAGGCCGATCTGTATGTACCGTGTCAACAGGCTCCTCTGCCTCTGTGCATGCTGTTTCCCCTTCTGGAATGTTCTCTTGTCTGTTCTGTAAGTTCTTAACTCTTGGTCATCCTTCAGACCTCTAACATCTCGACCTTGTGAAGCTTCTCTGATTTTCCGAGGAAGGAGGAGGATTACTCTCCCTCCTCTGGGTTTGTTCTGACAGCAACTTTTGCATCCTAAACCGTGTCTACCTCCTCTTCTAGAATATCGTAAGAAGATGGCAACCACGTCTTTTGGATTTCTGGTCTTTATATCCCTGTGTCTAGCATATTAGTAGGTGTTCATATTTATTTTATAATGTTTGATGTTATAATTAAGTTAAAATGGAATTGCTTTTATACTTTCCCAATTATGATATCATCATCCTTTTACCTTATTCATTTATTTATTTTTGTGGAAAAATCCAGTGTCTGGGAACTCCAGGTTCGAGGCTTCAGTAGCGACTGGGGCGTGAGGCCCTAGAGACAGGGTGTGTATTGCATTTAGGAAAGTAGTAATAAAATTGTTCCGAGTGCTTAGTGCTTGCCAGGAATCGTGTTGAGTCTTTTACATGCATTATCTTATTTGATTCCTACAAGTGAAGCTTCTCTGATGCCAAAGTCCACGCTCTTGACCGTGAGACTACAATGTCTAGGGCAGCCGGAACCAGTGAATCAGTCATCAAACAGCAGCCAGAGAAAGGGGGTGAGCGTTCTAATACCCCGTTTGTATAGTCAGTTGTAAAGACACTCATAGAAGAGACAGAGCAAGAAGGGGCAGGGAGGGGAGAGACAGAGAGAATACACCTGTTTAAAGGCCAAAGGGAAACAGAGGAAAGAAGAGAGGTGGAAGAGGTAGATCCCGCAGGCAAGAAGCCAGGGCTGTCCCCAGCTCAGTGTGACATTTCAGATGTGCCTTTGGTGGTGATTCTGTCAAGCACAGTCTCACTTGGCCATTGATTTCTGGGCCTGAACTCTATTGAGGCTAATAGGATTAGAGAAGACTGATAGTCGGGCGTTAGGAACTTGACTTTAACATCAGGGAGCGAGGTCGGAATTCCAGACACACTGGCAAGTTCTCGGCGGGGGAAATCTTTGGGGGGGGAGGAAGAGAAAGTCGGGTGTGTTCAGGGTCCCCTGCTCCCTTCTTGTGGGGTCATCTCAGACCTTTGGTCCCTCCGGCGAAGTCCACAGCCTGGCACAGCCATCTGGCTTCAGGTTTTGTGCCCACTCCCTCCTCTGACCCCTCAGATGTTCACAGTCACAGCCCCGCCTTCCCTGCCCCAGTGGGATTCTTCCTCGATCTTTGCTACTTTCCCTGCACCCTGCCCAGACTTCACAACTGGGCCTTCATCAAATTCTCCCCAGGCTGTCCTGACCCGGGTGTACCTGTACACCTTCTGCTTCTTGCCAGGACCCCAACAGACACCATGTGACTTGCCCAAGGTCACGTGGAGGATTAGGGCTCAAACTCTGCCCTCATAAGTAAGTGGCCTTTTGGGGAAGCAGGTCCCAACGGGCACTGGCTCTCGCTCCCGGGAAAGCACTTTGGGGGCCTCTGACATCAGCCAGGCCAGAGAGAGACGGGAGAATCGCACGGATCATGCCGGAAAGACACAAAGTCTATCTCGAGCCACGCCGGAAGAGGAGAATGAGAAATTCCAGTTCCTAGGACCCTCTGCCAGTCCCAGCACCTGGGAAGACCTCAGCTCCCAAAAATCAACAAGACAAAAAGACAGCGTGTGTTTATAGAGTGGACACTACGCACTTTATGGATGTGAACTCGTTAGATCCTCAGAACAATCCTACAACAAACTCGACCTCTTCACATTGAAGACGACATTGATCATAAGGCATTCTGTGTCCAGAGACTTTTAAATGAGCGTTTAAACATCAATGAAATAAGTATCATTTCCATTTTGCTCCTGAGAAATAGCCTCCTCCTCACCCATTTATTGTAGTTTATTACTGCATTGTTATGATCATTAGTATTATTTTTATACCCAGATCATGCATCATCAAACACTACAAGAGGAGGGCGTGTTGAGCACAGGAGCTTCGCTGTGAGGTGGGCTCCAGAGGGTGGAGGCCGAGCTGGACTTGTTCTCATTAGGTCGCCTCGGTTCCGAGTGTGCTTTGTAGCCCATGGCAGACACTCAGCAATCAAGCTGCAAAGGAAGAAATGAAGGAAGGAGTGAGGGAGGGAGGGAGGGAAGCGGGGAGGAGGGATAAATTTGTGAGGTCTTGGACTTTGGGACGCCAAGGTCAGCTCTAACATTATTACTTTAGCTTTTTGAGTCCAGGTTCCTCATCTACAAAAGAGGGCCGAGAGCACTACCTATCTTGCAGGGTCATCGAGACATGTGCAAAGTGCCTGACTGTGCCTGGAGCTAAGTAGGTGCTCAATAAATACCAGCCCCCTCTCCCACCCTCCCCCACTGGTTGGGAAAGCGGCAGAGCCATCCGAGCAGGAGGAAGGGGTGAGCGCACTGCCCCAGGACGCCCCCCTGCAGGGTCACTGCCTGAGACCCGCATGAGCACAGCCCAGGTGGCGCTGGTTGGGAAGGGGGGCGCAGGGGTGAAGTTTAAGGAGATGCATGACCTCGACTGTCCTCCGCAGCCTGATTTATGGGGCGGAGCCGTCTCCCGGATGAGATGGAGACGCTGCGAGCGAAAGAGCTGTAGAAAACCTTAATCCCCAAATGGCAGAAAGAGATACTCTCGGGTCCCGTGTGTGTTTGATCAAATCCATCAGGTGGGGCACGATCTTCCCCTCGCGGAATCCAATCGGTTGTCAGGCTTCAGCGGGTCTTTCTCAACCGAGGATGAAATATGTTCCCCACTTAGCCGACAAAATCCTTGGCTGATTTTGCTCAGCAAGAAAGAATCTGGCCTCGGAGCGCTAGAGTCCTGCCAGTGAACCGAGGCTGGCATTTAGGGGGTAGGAGGCCAGGGGAAAGAATCAGGCGGAGAAGAGCCCCCCAAGAGAAAAAATATACCCAAAGCCTTGGGCTGCTCAAGGCTTTGGGTAGAGCCTCGATGGAAGAATTTCCTAAGCGCCAGGTTTCGGGGAGGCCAGGGCGGAAGAGCGGGAGGAGAAGTCGCTGTCTGTCTGTCTGCTCCCGTGAGGATGCTGGTTGGCTGGTCTGATGGGGACCTGGGAGCAAGAGGAAGCTGCCCTTTTGGCAGAGCGGACTCTGCTCTGTGGCCTTACTGGGCCCGTGCTCCTGGCTGCGCAGGAGCCAGAAATGCTCAACATCCAGGGAGGATAATGGGAATCCCATAAGCGAGAGGTGGCGGGGATTCAGGGCTCTGACGGAACAGTGGCCTGGGGGGAGAAATTCCGACTTCCTGATCCTCAGACCTGCCTCTCTGCTCACCAAGCCTCTCCGACCCGCTTCTCTGAAACAATTCCTCCCCTCCATCCTTAGTGGACACTTTCTCAAGAGAGGACAGAGTTGGCAATTTAGAGCCTCCATGCAGAAAAAAAAAAAAGAGTGACACCTTCTCAACGTCTAGACGCAGGGTCCCTTTGCTGTGCTGACACCCTGAGCTCCAGTGTGCGTAGTAGGTCTGCCTGTGGTTGGCCTAGAACCTTCCAAACGTGGCACGTGCTACTCTGGGATGTCCCATCGCATTTGCTGCTTGGTAAACACGAATTCGCCCCAAGAGCCAGGTAAAGTGTCACCTCCACGGAGAAGCCAGGTACAGCTTCCTGTTTCCTCCCACGGCGATTTGTGCCTCCTTTACTTTAGCTGTAGAAATGGCATTCTTAGTTGTCGCCCTTCCCGCCAAAACAGGGGTGCTGAATCGTGTACCCCCCCCAAATTCACATGTTGAAGCCCTGAACTACTGGTGCTTCAAAATGTGACTGTATTGGAGATGGGCCTCTGAGGAGGTAATTAAGCGAAAACGAGGTTATGGGAACGAGCCCTAATTCAATGTGACTCATGTCCTCCAGCAGCAAAGACATCTGGACGCAGGCAGGTGCAGAGGGAAGATGATATGGAGACCCCGGGGGAAAATCGCCACCTACAAGCCAAGCAGAGAGCCCTCAGGAGGAACCAAGCCTGCCGACACCTTGATCTCGAACTTGCAGGCCAGAACTGTAGAAAATGCATTTCTGTTGTTCAAGCCCCCGCAGTCACAGCAGCCCAAGCCGGCTAATGCAGGTGCCCTACCACGACTGAGCTACAGCTCTTGCAATTGTTTTCTTTTAAAGGGCCAGATAGTAAATATTTTCAGCTTCGTGGGCCATCGGGTCTCTGTCACGGAGACTGCCGTGGCAACGTGAAAGCAGCCACGGGCGATATGTTAGCAAACAGCACCACTGTGTTCCAAAAACCCTTATTTACAACACAGGTGGCAAGGTGGCAGGGCCAGCTCTGGGCCCCCGGACTACAGTTTGGTGGCCCCTGTAGGAGACAAAAGTTCCACGAGGCCAAGGATTTGCGCTGAATTCCTACTAGTGTAGCACAGGGCTTGGCACACAGGAGAGGTTCAACTGATATCTTTTTTTTAATCAATTTTTTACAACTCTTTATTTGGAAGTAATTATAAAATTTGCAAAAAATAGTATAAAGAATTACAGGGACCCTTCACCTGTGACCTCTCCTATGTCACATCAATATGCATCAGTTTATATAGAGATCTTAAAGCCAGAAAGATCTCTCTGCCTATTTCCTGCTGTGTATCCCTGGGCAAGTCACTTAACCTCTCTGAACTTTGATCTCCTCCGCTGTAAAACTGTGCAAAGAATATGAGGAAATACGTGCAAAGAATTTCACACAACAGTTGGTATGTAGTAAGTGCTCAATAAATGCTGAGAAGGATACAGATTATTAAGTAGTTCCACTTTTTTCATTTCTCTGATGTTTCCAGACCCAAACATCCCACTCTGAGGTATAGAACCCAGTTCTCCAGAGAGAGATCTCTCCTTGGAGAGATGAGCTCAAGATTTTTCCTAAGAAAGCTCCTTGCTTTAGGGAACAAAAGAAAAAAGTTCAGACTCCTAGCACTCTCTGATGACCAAGGAAAAAGGAGTGAGGAGTGAGGTCGGAGGCTGGAGACCAAGTGAGGAGGGGCCACACGTGGTTTTACACTTTTTACATTTCTGAAAAAAACCTACAAAAAATAAATTCAGGACTTCATGAAAACATGGGGAGCCAAGAGAAGATCCAAACCCAGAGGCATTCCTTTATCAAATGCAATCAAATATTTACCATTTCTCGCTCCTAAAGCATCTGCCCCTTCCCCAGGAAGATGATAAAAGTTTGCAAGAGGAAGAAAACCCAAAACCTTCAGCTGGGAAAGCGAAGTGAAAAATGATGAATTCCACAAAGAAGCATGAAGAAAGAGCTGCAGATGGACACATGCCTGGCTCAGCACTGTGTAGCAGGAGCCTCGACCGGGCTTTTCAAAAGATTATAATAATGAGGAGGACGAAGATAATAATAATAGTCCCAATAATCGTTCATATTTAAATAGCACTTCCTGTAAGCACTTCAGGTATTGTTCTGAGAGCCTTACATTTATATGAAGTCATTTACATGACTTTACTCTCAGTAGTTTGCTAAGGCAGATGCTTTTATTATTTTTATTTTACAAACGAGGAAACCAAGGCACAGAGAGGTTAAGTAACTTGTGCAAGGTCACACAGCCAGAAAGGAACATGGTATGGATTCAAACCCAGGTCATCTGGCTCGAGAATCCATGCTCAACCACCAATGACAACCAATTGCTTCTCTTCATAAAACAGCCCTGTCGGTGGACATGAAAATAGTTTCCACAGTTCCTCTAGCAATAAGCACTACACATCAGCAAACTTTCTATAAAGGGCTAGATTTACTTTCTGTAAATCTGACTGCAAGTAAAGAGGCAAAACTGAGGATATTGTATATATATATACACAGAAAAAAAATTTCCACCATTGTTTTATTGAAAAATTTCAACTAATCCTACAAATAGATGCAATTAATTTTGTAATAAAGGTCTACTCATGAAAAGATGGAATTCATTTGGGATGAGTAAACATTGGGCATAAAGAGAGCACAAAGTGAGGGACCCCTACCACCCTGGTAGGGACATGGCCTCTTCTGCAAGGCCTTCCCTTGCTTCTATGACACTCTGATCTTGCCTCACGGAACCTTCCAGAATGCATGCTGGTGTCTCCCTCTCGGCACTTGTGTGCTGCCCCCGTAGCATTAGAGAGCTTCTGAAACGAAGAACTCAGTTAGGAGGGAGTCTCTGGGGTCAGCAACCCTGGGTTTGAATTCCAGCTAAATTAGTCCTTAGCTGTAGGATCTTTGACTACTTACTTGAATGTTCTAGAACAGAGATTGCTAATCAGCAGTGATTTCGCCCCTGGGGAGCATGTGGCTGGTGACATTTCTGGATGTCCCAACTTGGGGGTGGGAGCGGCCCCTGGCACCCAGTGGGTAGGGACCAGGAAAGCCGCTTGACCCCCTGCAATGCACAGGAGCAAGAGTGATCTGGCCTCCACTGTCGATAGTGCTGGGTTTGAGAAACCCTGTTCCAGAAGCTTCTGTGTCCTCATCTATAAACTGAACTATTGTACCTTCTCCACAGTGAAGATTAAATGAGCTATCATAAATGCAAAGACATAGAGCAGGGTATGACATATTGCAAAGCACTTGAGATAAATATCACTATTCTTTTGATTTTTATTCCAAGATTTATACACACAAAGCCATTCTGAGCCCGCAGGCCATACGAAGACAAGCGGGGGGCCGGATCCGGCAGCCGCTGCCCTAGTCCGAGGTTGCACTGTCAGAGGGGAGAGTGTTTTGTTACTGCCTCTGCCCCAGCCCATCCTCCCCGACAGCCGCCCCTTCCCTCTCCCTCCTCTCTTAGCCAAGCTTGGAGACTGGATGCAAAAGCCATTATTAAAAAATGAACATGAGTTGTTTTTTCCCCTTTTTGATCAAATAATCCAGTTTGCTGCCTCAGACAAATCATTATTCATGTGCAACCTGCCCGTGCCGCCCCTGGGGAGGAAGGCCAAATTGATTTAACATCTAATCCGGTTTGTACGTCCTGCTAACCCCAGCGGTGTGCTAACTTCGCCCCGGCAGGATGGGGAGGGAGGAGCGGGCGGAGGGACACACGAGGGAATTGGCCCAAGACGCAGGTCTGAGCCCAACTCTGCACAAAGGCGAGAGAGGTTGAGGAACGGGCTGTGAGAGCATAGAAAGTTCTAGAACCGGGACTCAAAGTCAGAACTGTCTGCCCCCAAATCTTGAACCACCTCACCCACGTCCAGCCTCCTGGGTGGAGGGAGGTGTCTGGCTGGGTTCTACAGCTCTTTCCATAGAGTTCACCTGTGCAGGGCTCCAGACTCTTGGCATTAGCTGGGTCATTGCCGGATCTCTGAATTTCCTCCTCCTCCTCACTGCTAAAGCTCTGTCCGTCTGCACTCTGGGCTTCGGGAGGGGAGTGGGAGTGGGGAGCACAGAAGCAGCTTCCTTCTGGGGGCAGGGGAAAGCATTTGAAAATCAGTGTTAATGAAAATGTTTTATGTATCGAGACCTCATCTAAGAACATTGTATGTTAAGCGCATTTAATCTTCAGGAGAGGGGTAGTATCGTCCCTTTCTCACAAGGAGAAAAGTAGAGGTCACCTTATGTCATTGCCTAGTGGCAACACCGGGATTCGAACCCACGCCAGCTGGCTGCCAGGCGATGGCCCTGACCTTCCGCATTCCCCTGCGTGGCTCTGCCCTTGGTCTCATGGGGATTAGGGACCTGGAGATCCCATTCATTTCTCGGGAATAAACCACACTAAGGCATAAGTGACAGTTATGCGAACACACATCAACACACACAAACACAAACATGGAGACAAACACATGTACAGATACACACAGAAACACAAACATGCAGAAACAGAAACGCACACACACACCCCCATTCTGTGCATTCGTGCAAAGGACTTGGACCCTCCAGCACTGCTCAAACCACACGCACCTCTCCCTCCAAACCTCCCTCCCGTGCCCAGACCCCGGCTTGCACCCTCCCTCGGGCCTTTCAGTAATTCAGACGAGAGATCACACTCCAGTGACACAGGGGATACGGAGCGGGGGTGAGGGATGCCATATGAGCAAGTCCCCCGAACCCTGGGTGACAGAGCTCCTAGCACCTGCCCGGGTCTTGTAGCACAAGTGGCCAACTCTGCCTGGGATGTCACCGGCCGATCCGGGCAGCAGATGGGCCCTCTGACCCCCTGACACACCCCGGAGCGTGGGATTTGAGAAGGAGCAGAGGAGAGCTGACAGCACCGACTCTCTGAGCTGGGGGCACCTTGGAAACAAAGCACAAGACCACTTGAAGCGAGAGACGCCTTTCTCCACGTGCCTCCGTCTCATGGAAGGTCCCTGGTCTCATGTCCCCATGAGAGCCAAGGCTGCAGTGCGGCAGGCCCTGAGACGAGCTCGCGAGAGTGGTTTCTGACCAAAGCCATGCAAGGATTGAGAATGTTTTACTGAAACGGTTGGAGGATGGCTTTGCAACTGTGCATGTGTAGATGTTTGCAAAAACACGAGAGTGCAAATGGGTGTGTACAAAACAGCTAACACATCCTGCACACTTACTACATGTCGGGCTCTGATGGCAACATCTTATTTATTGCCCAGGTTTGACCTCATCATCCACATTTTACAAGAGAGGAAAATGAAGCCCAGGGTTCCAGTGACTTGCTCAAGATCACACAGCCACAAATCTCAGAGCAAACCTTGAAAACCCAAAGTGGCTTCTTCCAGCACCCCTGCATTTCCAATGCATCCTGCCAACTCCCAGTACCTGCAGGCAAACACACATGTGGATGCATCTGATGCACGCAATGCAATGTATGTATTTGGGCTTGTGTGCCTGCCCCATGCAACCTATCTTCCAATAATAATTATAGCGATAGCTAGCACTTGCTAGAGGATATGCCAAAAGCCTCCATTGCTTCATCTCATTGAATTCTCACATGAATTCTATCCTATTGGTATGATTATTTCTCTCTAGTGACAGCTGAGAAACCAAGGTTTGGCGAGCTTAAGTAATTCCCCCGCAGGAACGAATGAATGGATGGATTTGAGAGATGTTTCCACGGCAGACACCATGACCTGGTTAATAACTTACATCAGGGACTGACAAAGTTTGTCCGTAAAGGGCAGATAGATAGTAAATATTTTAGGCTTTGTGGACCAAGAGGCAAAGCTGAGTTCTCCAACATAACCATTTAAAACTGCAAAAAGTATTCGTAGCTTGCTAGCTACACGAAACAGGCTGCAGGCTGGATGGATTCTGATCTGGCTTACCCATTCCTGACCTAACCGGGAGGCAGTTAGGGAAACATCTGCTTATTGCAAGGTGCTCACTTGGGATTTGGAAAGACGGGTGGGTTTTGGAGGCGAGGTGGAGAAAGAAGGGCACGGGAGTCCTGTTACATGGTGGGGACCTTCCACTTCCGGCCCTCCCACCCCCACCTGGAATGTGCAATGTTCTGACTCAAGTGGAACAAGGAGCCAGGGTGGGGTGGCTTTGGGTCTCCAACCTTCACATGCCTGTGTGTGCTGGTGGCAGCGTTGGGGACCTTGGGGAGGTTACAGGTCTCGAGAGATGTACCCCTGCACCCCTACTGGTGAACCCGGTTCCCATTCAGTCCATCAGCAATGTTCTCTGCCTCTTGATGCTTTATTTTTCTCCCCGCACCCCCAGGTTTCCTCGGTGACAACGGATGCTTTGGGACTAAAACATGGCAGGAGGCATTCACAAGTAAAACAAGCACAGAAGCCCACATGCTGCATGACTTATTTGTTGTCCAGTGATGCTAGCATGGTCCTTAAGAGGCACTTTGAGTACTGGAGGCCGCTGAGATACGGAGTATTTCAAACCAACGCCATGACCCCGATCTGTACGCCAATCCTGCGACAGCGCTAGCAGCACAGAGATGCCAAATGTCGCTTCTCTGATTTGCCACCTTGCGAGAACCCAGAGCCAGCCAGATGTGGGGGGCTCATCTCTTGGGTTATTGTTGCTGTAAGTAGAGTCTTAGGGCAAGCAGAAATCGCTGAGCCAGCAACCCCTGGATGGGGTGGACCTTGGAAGGACCAGAATTCTTTCCCTTTCTCTTGAAAGATGCTGGTGTAACGAAAAGCGACTGGGCAGCGTATCTATCAGAAGACCTGGCTCACAGGCACCAGACTGAGCCTTAACTTTAAGGCTCAGTGACCTTGGGGTAGTGACCAGACCTCTCTTCTCCTCACCCTTCTCATCTGCGAAATGGGAACAAACACCATCACCTTTCGGGTGCTGGTTTTCAGTTGGCAAAGTGACAACCCCTTATTGGTTTGGAGGGGCACAGACCTTCCACTGACTTTTGGATGGAGATGCGATTAAACCCAACGTTGTTAAAAGTCTGCTAAAGGCCCTGCAAGTAAGCATTGGCAGAAATGAGCAGAAGAGTCCAGGTTTTCAAACTCCCACTCCAATATCCTTTCCAATGCTTGAAGAATAACCATGCCTGTAGTTGCCTTGCCCGCCAAGCCTGTGTTGAGTTTCAAACGTACATGCCAGCAGCTGAACAGGACAAAGCTATGCCACGTCCAAGGTTTTTGCACCAGACAGAGTTGTACAGAGGCAGAAGAGAGACTAAGAACGGACTTTGGAACCTCACTGCCTTGGTTCAAATTTAGGCTCCATGAATGACTAGCTGTGTGAGCTTGGGCAAGTGAATTAACCTCTCTGTGTATCAGCTTCTACAGAAACGTTCTAGAACCGGACTCAAAGTCGACTTCGCCCCAAATCTTGAACGCCTCCACGCATCCTACCTGGGTGGAGGGACGTGCTGGCTGTTCTACAGCGTCTTTCCCCAAGAGTTCACCGTTGCAGGCTCCAGACTCTTGCATTACCGGGTCATTGCCGGAATCTCTGAATTCTCCTTCCCTCCTCCTGCTAACTCGTGTTCCGTCCTGCACTCTGGTTCGGGCATGAGGGGAGTGGGAGTGGCCAGAAGCAGCTCTCTGGGGGCAGGGGAACGCATTTGAAATCAGTGCTAAAAAATGTTTTATGTATCGAGACCGTCATCTAAGAACGTAATGCTAACGCATTTAATACTTCAGGAGAGGTAGTATCACCCTTTCTCAAACAAGGAGAAAAGAGAGTCACTTATGCTCATTGCCTAGTGCAACACCGGGTTTCAACCCACGCCACTGGCTGCAGGCGATTGGAACCTGTATTCCTATTCCCCTGCGTGGCTCTGCCCTGGTCTCATGGGTTAGGGGACCTGGAATCCATTCATTGTTCTCGGTATAAACCACACTAAGTGCATAAGTGACATTTGCGAAACAGCGCCAAACACACACAAACACAAACCATGGACAACACATGTACAGATACCCACCAGAAACACAAACATGGCCAGAACAGAAACGCACACACACACCCCATTATGTCATTCGGCAAGGACTTTGGCCCTCCCCGCCTGCTCAAACCACCACGCACCTCTCCCTCCAAACCTCCCTCCCGTGCCCAGACCCCTTGCACCCCCGCCTCGGGCCCCTTTCAGTAATTAGAGCGAGATCCCACTCCAGGGCACTAGGGGATTACGGACGGGGTGACGGATGCCAAATGAGCCAAGTCACCAACCCTGGGTGACAGAGCTCCTAGCACCTCCCGGTCTGTAGCACAAGGGGGGGGGGTGGCAACTCTGCCTGTGATCACCGGCCGAATCCGGCATCAGATGAAGCCCTCTGCCCCCCTGACACCCCCGGAGCGTGGATTGAGAGGAGAGAGAGAGCTATCTCCTCCGCTGTAAAACTGTGCAAAGAATATGAGGAAATACGTGCAAAGAATTTCACACAACAGTTGGTATGTAGTAAGTGCTCAATAAATGCTGAGAAGGATACAGATTATTAAGTAGTTCCACTTTTTTCATTTCTCTGATGTTTCCAGACCCAAACATCCCACTCTGAGGTATAGAACCCAGTTCTCCAGAGAGAGATCTCTCCTTGGAGAGATGAGCTCAAGATTTTTCCCAAGAAAGCTCCTTGCTTTAGGGAACAAAAGAAAAAAGTTCAGACTCCTAGCACTCTCTGATGACCAGGGGAAAATGGAACAGCTCCAAGGAGTGAGGTCGGAGGCTGGAGACCAAGTGAGGAGGGGCCACATGTGGTTTTACACTTTTTACATTTCTGAAAAAACCTACGAAAAATAAATTCAGGACTTCATGAAAACATGGGGAGCCAAGAGAAGATCCAAACCCAGAGGCATTCCTTTATCAAATGCAATCAAATATTTACCATTTCTTGCTCCTAAAGCATCTGCCCCTTCCCCAGGAAGATGGTAAAAGTTTGCAAGAGGAAGAAAACCCAAAACCTTCAGCTGGGAAAGCGAAGTGAAAAATGATGAATTCCACAAAGAAGCATGAAGAAAGAGCTGCAGATGGACACATGCCTGGCTCAGCACTGTGTAGCAGGAGCTTCGACCGGGCTTTTCAAAAGATTATAATAATGAGGAGGACGAAGATAATAATAATAGTCCCAATAATCGTTCATATTTAAATAGCACTTCCTGTAAGCACTTCAGGTACTGTTCTGAGAGCCTTACATTTATATGAAGTCATTTACATGACTTTACTCTCAGTAGTTTGCTAAGGCAGATGCTTTTATTATTTTTATTTTACAAACGAGGAAACCAAGGCACAGAGAGGTTAAGTAACTTGTGCAAGGTCACACAGCCAGAAAGGAACATGGTATGGATTCAAACCCAGGTCATCTGGCTCGAGAATCCATGCTCAACCACCAATGACAACCAATTGCTTCTCTTCATAAAACAGCCCTGTCGGTGGACATGAAAATAGTTTCCGCAGTTGTTCCTCTAGCAATAAGCACTACACATCAGCAAACTTTCTATAAAGGGCTAGATTTACTTTCTGTAAATCTGACTGCAAGTAAAGAGGCAAAACTGAGGATATTGTATATATATATACACAGAAAAAAAATTTCCACCATTGTTTTATTGAAAAATTTCAACTAATCCTACAAATAGATGCAATTAATTTTGTAATAAAGGTCTACTCATGAAAAGATGGAATTCATTTGGGATGAGTAAACATTGGGCATAAAGAGAGCACAAAGTGAGGGACCCCTACCACCCTGGTAGGGACATGGCCTCTTCTGCAAGGCCTTCCCTTGCTTCTATGACACTCTGATCTTGCCTCACGGAACCTTCCAGAATGCATGCTGGTGTCTCCCTCTCGGCACTTGTGTGCTGCCCCCGTAGCATTAGAGAGCTTCTGAAACAAAAAAAAGGCATTTAGGAGGGAGTCTTTGGGGTCAGCAACCCTGGGTTTGAATTCCAGCTAAATTAGTCCTTAGCTGTAGGATCTTTGACTACTTACTTGAATGTTCTAGAACAGAGACTGCTAATCAGCAGTGATTTTGCCCCTGGGGAGCATGTGGCTGGGGGCATTTCTGGATGTCCCAACTTGGGGGTGGGAGCGGCCCCTGGCACCCAGTGGGTAGGGACCAGGAAAGCCGCTTGACCCCCTGCAATGCACAGGAGCAAGAGTGATCTGGCCTCCACTGTCGATAGTGCTGGGTTTGAGAAACCCTGTTCCAGAAGCTTCTGTGTCCTCATCTATAAACTGAACTATTGTACCTTCTCCACAGTGAAGATTAAATGAGCTATCATAAATGCAAAGACATAGAGCAGGGTATGACATATTGCAAAGCACTTGAGATAAATATCACTATTCTTTTGATTTTTATTCCAAGATTTATACACACAAAGCCATTCTGAGCCCGCAGGCCATACGAAGACAAGCGGGGGGCCGGATCCGGCAGCCGCTGCCCTAGTCCGAGGTTGCACTGTCAGAGGGGAGAGTGTTTTGTTACTGCCTCTGCCCCAGCCCATCCTCCCCGACAGCCGCCCCTTCCCTCTCCCTCCTCTCTTAGCCAAGCTTGGAGACTGGATGCAAAAGCCATTATTAAAAAATGAACATGAGTTGTTTTTTCCCCTTTTTGATCAAATAATCCAGTTTGCTGCCTCAGACAAATCATTATTCATGTGCAACCTGCCCGTGCCGCCCCTGGGGAGGAAGGCCAAATTGATTTAACATCTAATCCGGTTTGTACGTCCTGCTAACCCCAGCGGTGTGCTAACTTCGCCCCGGCAGGATGGGGAGGGAGGAGCGGGCGGAGGGACACACGAGGGAATTGGCCCAAGACGCAGGTCTGAGCCCAACTCTGCACAAAGGCGAGAGAGGTTGAGGAACGGGCTGTGAGAGCATAGAAAGTTCTAGAACCGGGACTCAAAGTCAGAACTGTCTGCCCCCAAATCTTGAACCACCTCACCCACGTCCAGCCTCCTGGGTGGAGGGAGGTGTCTGGCTGGGTTCTACAGCTCTTTCCATAGAGTTCACCTGTGCAGGGCTCCAGACTCTTGGCATTAGCTGGGTCATTGCCGGATCTCTGAATTTCCTCCTCCTCCTCACTGCTAAAGCTCTGTCCGTCTGCACTCTGGGCTTCGGGAGGGGAGTGGGAGTGGGGAGCACAGAAGCAGCTTCCTTCTGGGGGCAGGGGAAAGCATTTGAAAATCAGTGTTAATGAAAATGTTTTATGTATCGAGACCTCATCTAAGAACATTGTATGTTAAGCGCATTTAATCTTCAGGAGAGGGGTAGTATCGTCCCTTTCTCACAAGGAGAAAAGTAGAGGTCACCTTATGTCATTGCCTAGTGGCAACACCGGGATTCGAACCCACGCCAGCTGGCTGCCAGGCGATGGCCCTGACCTTCCGCATTCCCCTGCCTGGCTCTGCCCTTGGTCTCATGGGGATTAGGGACCTGGAGATCCCATTCATTTCTCGGGAATAAACCACACTAAGGCATAAGTGACAGTTATGCGAACACACATCAACACACACAAACACAAACATGGAGACAAACACATGTACAGATACACACAGAAACACAAACATGCAGAAACAGAAACGCACACACACACCCCCATTATGTGCATTCGTGCAAAGGACTTGGACCCTCCAGCACTGCTCAAACCACACGCACCTCTCCCTCCAAACCTCCCTCCCGTGCCCAGACCCCGGCTTGCACCCTCCCTCGGGCCTTTCAGTAATTCAGACGAGAGATCACACTCCAGTGACACAGGGGATACGGAGCGGGGGTGAGGGATGCCATATGAGCGAGTCCCCCGAGCCCTGGGTGACAGAGCTCCTAGCTCCCGCCCGGGTCTTATAGCACAAGTGGCCAACTCTGCCTGGGATGTCACCGGCCGATCCGGGCAGCAGATGGGCCCTCTGACCCCCTGACACACCCCGGAGCGTGGGATTTGAGAAGGAGCAGAGGAGAGCTGACAGCACCGACTCTCTGAGCTGGGGGCATCTTGGAAAGAAAGCACAAGACCACTTGAAGCGAGAGACGCCTTTCTCCACGTGCCTCCGTCTCATGGAAGGTCCCTGGTCTCATGTCCCCATGAGAGCCAAGGCTGCAGTGCGGCAGGCCCTGAGACGAGCTCGCGAGAGTGGTTTCTGACCAAAGCCATGCAAGGATTGAGAATGTTTTACTGAAACGGTTGGAGGATGGCTTTGCAACTGTGCATGTGTAGATGTTTGCAAAAACACGAGAGTGCAAATGGGTGTGTACAAAACAGCTAACACATCCTGCACACTTACTACATGTCGGGCTCTGATGGCAACATC